GTGAGAGACTGGGAGTATCGATTCCGCATTTGAGAAACGCAGAAGGAACATAGAACACAAAGAGAGAAAGAGAAAGGCATCGCATATATATCCGCTCCGCGTTTCGCGTGCGGTAGCACGGCCGCTCTGCGCGGCGTCGCGTCGCATCGCATCGCGTCGCGTCACGTCGCGTTGCGTTGCGACGCGCGACGCCTCGGCGACACGCAATTTCACGTTCGCGCCCGTCGGCACTGTCGGCGGTAGGCGAGACGGAAGAGAAGGAGGAGATCGGAGTAGGAGTATAGACAACGACGACGACGGCGGCGGTGGCGGCGTCACCGCACGCGTGTACCGGGGCCTAACGAACTCGTGTGCTCGTGTGTTCTAACAACGAGCGTCGACGCCGCGTCACGCTCGCGGCGGTGTGGCCGCGCGATAACGCACACGAGAGAGGGACGCACAGTGGCGGCCGGCGACGCCGTAACACGCAGCAACGTCACGTCCCCGATGGTGAGTCTGTCAATCGGCGCCGACGTCACGCGCGCGCCGCGCCACGCTGCGCCGCGCCGCGCCACGCCGCGCCGCGCGTCACGCCGAGTAAACGCGCTCTCCGCTCTGCTCCTTTACGCTCGAGAATCGAGATGAACAGCGGCGACGACAAAGACGGCGATGATTTTGCTCATCAAATTTTGCAATCGAATTTTCGAAAGGTCACGCGTGGACTTTCATTTCTTATTTCGCGAGGTCATCGTCCTCTCTTTTTCTCCCACTTTTATCACGAGTTTATTTCTGTTTTTTTTTTTCATTTTGTTATCTACTGTTTTCTTATCCCATTGGTGTTTCTCCGTGTCACGCGCGCCTTGTTTATTTCATAGCCTTGATGTGTCCATTCGTTTTCCGTCTCCTTTTTGTTCGAGGCGACGCGACGGAAGACGAAAATCGTGACGCGAATGCGGAGCACGCAGTATGAGAAACGACTCTATTCGTTCGAGAAATTCCTTCTTCGATAACAAGGATCTTATGCATTTCTTCACGCACGATTTAGCGTTTTCGATGACGTGGAAGTCACACCTGTCCAGGTCTCGTTGAAAAAACGAAATTTGCGGAGATCGAAATTTATGTTGATAATTAGTCAATGATCTGTCGCAGCTCAATTTTCAGTAATTTCCAGATTAATCAATAGACGGTTGTGGCGAAAGAAGTAAAATTGGATATCGAACTCAGGCGACGGATTTTACGCTGATATTATGCAATCGGGTGTAATATCTTAGTATTATACGCGTTCATAAAACGGATTTATTTGATATGTGAGATTTCTTCTTGCAATCTAAACGTAGATTTTTTTGCATACATTTCTTTATTCATTCAGTCTGAGCACATCTTGCAATCTACGTTCTTTGTTTTAGAACGCAACACTCTTTTTTCTCTCTTTCTATTTCCTGCAATTATTCCTCTTTTCTAAATTATTGATTATCCATACCCTCTCTTACACCAAATTATATTCACTCGTCTTCATTGTATCCTCCTTCATCGACACAAAATTCCCTAGAAATTAATAGAATTCCCTGCACAGTTGAATTTTTATGTCACATTTTGTTATTCTTCAAATACATTACTCAATCCTTGGCTCGAAGTTAGTAATCGATCGGAATTCTCGGAGTTCTCACGCGACTTCTATATACCGGCCATTTGTAATACAACTATGACATTTACATTGTAATCGTTAGATCAGTGATTTCAAGAGCGCACGTGTTCTTCGCGGAATATGCTAGATTGATAATTAATTTTTTAACTATAAAATTAACAATTGCCTGCATCACTTACGAGGATCCAATATATTTTGAAAAGTCAAGTTAAGAGAATCACTGCATTAAAAATTTTTTTAGTATTACGTAAATATATAATACTGTGTTTTTAGTATTATATAAATATAAGGTTTCAGAGATTTAACAAATTTTCTTTCATTTTCGAGTCACAGTTTTACGAATCTAAGCGCTCGATTTCCTTAATTAAAAGTCGAGAGACAAATTTAATATACGTACCTGTCATACCTGTGCCGTTTTGGAATACTGCCAACTTAACAATTAATAATGCAGGCAACATTAATTGTCAGCAACATTAATAGTAATTTACATTGCTATGTTAAATCGATCTCTCAACAAAATATTTAAGTCTCCAAATCGGAACAAAAATACAAAAAAATTTTTTAATAAAAGTCAGGGAAAATCATGAAATCTGGAAATTAGGGAAAATTTCTTATGGAATGTTAGAATAAAAAATTTATGATAATCCCGGATCTGTATCGAATTTTTTAAATCTGTAATCTGTGTCTAATTTTTTAGATGTTTTAGCAAATCATTCTTTCCGTATGAAATTATTAATTAAGTTAAGAATAATGATTTTGACGTGTTTAATGGTGGGGAAACGTTTTTCTCTTTTAACCGGTTATAAAATTTATTGATCTCTCTGCGTAACAAATCGATTCGAGGTTGATCAAAGCTATAGATATATAAAGGACAGCTCAAGATGAAAGATAGCTCCAGGTAGGAAGTCTTCCCTGTAATGCTTCTCGAATAGCCCTTTCTCTTGCCGATGTCATCATACTAGTCGTCGAAAGGGCAAAGTCGATTGTATACATGATTGAGAAATCACAAGGGAAACCTTCTCCGATCCATTTTCAAGCGTCGATCAGAAATCTGTCTTGTGGGCGCGATTGCTTGATTACTTACTGTACAAGAGTTGAATTACGTCAGTGTAATACATGTCGAGACCGAGTAGAGTTGGATGCACGAGATACTTTTGGAGTGTCGCCTAGTCGAAATTGATCAATTTCCCCGAGTTGTTACGGAATAGCCCAGATATCCTTGTATCACCGTTAAATGACACTCGATTTGTCGGAATATTTGTCAGTGTCCTATTTCAAATGCGATTATGTAAAATTATATGAATAAACGTTCCCGTAATGACATTCGAAAATTGCAAAGCGAAAGTAAATACTTGGAAATATCAAAGCGAATCAATTGACATCCGATATATCTGGATTTTATCATTAGCATCAACCTGCATAATCAGGAATTATTTTTCAGTTGTAATAAATCGACAAGTAAATTAGAGCGCAAAATAACGTGGATAAATTAAAATGATTTTTTTAAGTTGTGGTCACATAAATAAATTAGTATATTTATAGCCTTCTTTACTTTATTCGTGCTTGTTTGTACAATGTAGTTTAGGCCGCTTTCCTTATAGAGAATACACTTGACGTCGTTCGAACCCTTTTTAGCATTCAATGAATAACAAAGATAGAACGATATTTGTGTCGCCTAAAACGAAAGTCTTAATTTTAATCTTGGTTCCACTAACTCTTCATCTTTTACCTCGTCTTTTTCTAGTTCTAAAAATTAGAAAAAGATGAAGAGCAAGTTAAATCGAGAGTAAAGTTAATCTACATTAGTAGAAAAGTATATAAGATATAAATTTAAAAAAATTCTACGTAAAAAACGTAGCTCGTAAACGTTGCTCAATGTTTTGCAGAGATCGCGTGACAAGTCGAGAACGTTGTTTGTGTTCGCCTGCTCTTATGCGACTCATGTAACTTGCTGGAATTCTTATCTTGACTTCTTCGTTGTTTTCTCAACAACGTTAACAACTAAACGTAAATATGTAAAGGATGCGTTTACGAAAAATTTAATCGATAAAACTAGCTATGTTCGGGAAACATTCTCCACATTCTCCGCCGGTGACGGCGATCAATAACATTCTCGGCGTTCTTTGTGCTCCATTTTTCCGAGATTGGACCTTTTATTATCTCAAGTAAGTTTCCTTGTCCCTCGTTTGTCCCACAGCATCGATCGACTCGTGAAGATGTGGATAATAATAAAGACATCGAGACGTCAAAGATGAAAAATCGATCTCTCTGGATTATATTTTGATGACATATCATAATTATCTGCCTGTCTACTGTTATCATCTGTAATTGAGGATGAAGTTCTTTTGCGACTTTATCTTTCATGACAGGTTATCCGTGAATATAAAATCTAGAAAGATGATACAACTAATATAGTCGCTTACGAGAATAACGTTATTATATAAAGTCAAAACTCGTTTTCCGTTCCGTAAAAGATTTTGATGTAGACTTTTTTGTTTTGCGCAGAAAGATCGAGGATTGATTGAAGGTTCGGCACGCAATGACGGATTATATCGATTCAATAAAGACGACTATTATTATCCGATCGAATTCCATGTATATTCGTAGAATATTACTTGCTACTGTGACATTATGTCATCTCGTTGAGTATGTGAGTGTCAGGGTCGAACTTGACATCACGGTAAGCTAAAGACAGTAAAGAAAAAAGTACATTCTTCAATAATTAACAGCGAAGGCTACTAAAAGACATACAACAGTTTTGGATATTTATTTTAATAATTAATTTAGTAATTATTTGTTCTCATCTTCATGATTATACCTGATATTGTTGAAACTATTCTTTTTAGGCATGTAAGATTAGATTTAGAAAATTGTTTTAATATTTTTAACTTGTAACTGAAATATACTGAAATATACTCAGAGTCCTGGTTTTTATAATTTTTAAATTGTAATTATTTGCAATAATTTTGTTTCACAATCTTATTTTTCACAGTTTTAAACTTGAAAAATTCTTTAAAAAATAAAACTGATAACAAAAATTCTAGTAGATCCTAAGAATCCATATCGTTCCCTTATTTAAGAAATGACAATTTTAAAAAATGTGATTTTCGGATTATTATTATCAGTTTTGATGATCAAAGTTTAAAAACGAAGTTTTATTTTTAATCTAACTTCATCTGATCTGATAAATATAAGTTCTTGATGATATTTCGAGTTATGTTATTTTTTTTATGAATTATCTTGACTTTTTTTATTATAATTTTAAGATATCAAAGTAATCGTCAACGACTTAAAAAGAGTTTTTTAAGGCTTGTAAAATGAAAATGACAAAATGACATTTGATCATGTTTTTAAGAGTGTATTATTTTTGCCGATATTGTTTAATTAATCATTAATTTTTTGTTAATTAAAAAAAATTTTTCTTTTTTCTGAAAAACTTAATTTTTTTTAGTATTACTTTTAAAATGAGGGAATGATATGTTTTTTTAATACAAAAAAAGGTGTATATCCCTGTTCCGAGTTCGTTATTCACGTTTTTCACTTCCAATTCGCCATAATTATGTCTGATATTGTATGTACCTTGAAAGTCTTCCCTTTGGGCATCACATCGTATTGAATTTTGAAGCGAAATCTTGTTGCGAAAAATTCTTATTAGCCCGCTTCAGATACTTGCATCTGCCAATTAAAGTTGTGCAATTTTAGATATAATACGCCAGAGACGCTTGCCACGTCAGTGACTACGTCATTTACGTGGATAACGATGCTGTATTAACGATTGTAGACGATGATTTTATTTTTCGCCCACGCACTACGATTAAGTATCCAATTAGTATCTCTATTGCGCAATTTTACATATGCAACTCGTAAATAAAGGGCCGATTTACCAATTATCTATACTGCTCTCTTTACAGTGGCGGCACTTTAGGAACTTTGTTCTCCCGTTGCGATGAAAATACATATATCATGCGAAGCACCCACCTGACCTGCTAAAAATAGCACGAATATCCGCGTCTTCTCCGCGTTTCGTTCAAATAAAGAACAATTATTTTATAAATGCTGATAAATGAAGAAGAAATAAAATTACAGAGAAATATGAATGTTACGATAGCTTCCGTGTATGATCGACGATAAAATACATCTAATTATAAAATGTTTGTCCTCAAGAGATGTCATAATGTTAATCCATCATTAACTATGTTGAATAGAAATGACGTCAGAAAAGGAACGAGGAGCTACGTGCAACCTCTTACGTATACTTTGATAGATAAATCCATCTCTTGATAAGAAAAATTTTGTAAGAAGACATCTCAAGAGTATTAATTTTTAACTTGTGAATAATTAATTATAAGCGCAAAGAAATGCATTTATTCCGACGTGAAGAAAAAAAATTATTGCTTGACTTTGTTTTCGTTTGATGTCGCTTTTGACGTCATGATCCGATATATAGTTGTCGAGTGACGTGTTAGACCTTAATATTCCTAAAAGACGGTCCTCTGTCCCTGATCGAAAGCGGATCTCAATTTGGTCCTACATCGTCGAATAAATGACGTGCAATATCGATGAGGTTGCTGCACACGGTGACGTGCAATCCTTCTAGCTGAATTCTAGCTGATCAACAGATCGTTTTATTTCTAGTTTTTGCGATACGCATATCTCCCAATCTTTTCTACACAAAAATAATTCACAATCATTTTGCTAAAGTATTAAAAAATTTTGTTACATATAGTTACAGAATATAGTTTGAGAATAATTTTATTGGACCATCAAAAATAATTACGTAGGAATCTCAAGCAATGCTGTAAAAAGTTTTAATATTCTAGTAATCAGTTCTTACATAATTATTTTGATGGTGCAAAATTATTTTTAGATCTGTATTTAGAAAAATTTTTAGATATTTCAGCAAAACCATTCTTTCAATGTAGATATTATTGGAGCATTTGTGAAGACTAGTATGATCTAAATTTCCAATCTGATTTCAAATAATGTGGTAAAAATAAAATTTACCTCAGAGATATTCGGAGAAAAATTTCAGATATTTGAAAATTTTCAAGCGAATTTTTCAAAGCCGTATCTTTTACAAATAAAAAAGAGCGTGT